CAAATATTTGAGCTTGAGTTCAACATGAAAGAATCGTGGTTTTACTTGTTCAGTCGCCCAATTCAATTGGCTCCACTTCCTGCAGTGATATGGGGCGGTATTGTTTATGGCGCCCAGATGATGTGGCTTTCGCTCATGGCCACGACACAATCGGAGATTTTCGAGACATACTATGGCTTCTCCACCTCTTCTACAGGTCTTACCAACTTGGCTCCATTGGCTGGCTGCTTGATTGGCATGGTCTATGGAGGACGATTTGTGGACTGGCTCGCGGTTTTCTTGGCCAAAAGAAACAAAGGAGTTCTTGAGGCCGAGTTCAGACTCTACGCCATGTGGTTTCCTACTTTGATCAACGCAGCAGGTGTGCTCGCTTATGGTCTTGGTGCAAACAGCAAGGCTCCGTGGGCCATACCGGTTATTGTGGGCCAAGGTTTTCTTGGGTTCTCCATGACCTCTACAGGCCCGATCTGTTTAACGTACGCTATCGAATGTTATCCTGAATTGTCTTCTGAGGCATTGGTGTTGATGTTGTTCGTTAGAAACATGATAGGCATGGGTTTCACATGGGGTATCCAGGCTTGGTTAGAAAGAGATGGACTTGTCACGACAACCTGGTTAATGTTTATGTTATCGCTTATTATCAACGGGTTTGCGATCTTCTTTATAATTTGGGGGAAGAAGTGGCGCAAAATGACAAAGGAATACTACTTGAGAATTGCCAATAAATAGAATGGTATCCTACTACAGCTACAAAGATACGAATAAGTGCATATATATCATTCGAGAGCAGGGCGGTGACATGAACTAAGAGTCTGAACCCCAGATTAACACAGTCAAAGATAGGGTAGTAGACAAAAAGATAGGTCATACCGGGGTTCGAACCCGGGTTACCGGAATCAGAATCCGAGGTGATACCACTACACTATACGACCTTATTGATGGCTACATCTGAGTGGAAGAAACAAACATAGTAGGTTGAATACTGAACGTGAACGTAACAAATTCAGAAGGAGAATATAGGGAAGTTGCCATTGTTCTGCTCTTCCGAAAAAGCGCATCCAGTGAAGAAGGCTTTGAAAACAAAAAAATGAAACCCGCGTTGATGGTATTGAAATGGGATATTTGTGTAAGAGACTGACCTTTTCCCCAAATCCTGGGCAGACCGCAATTTCGATTTTTGGTCGGCTCCTACATCTTATCCCAGTTAATGGGACGCGGCTAAAGGTGTTCCGTCACCGCTTCAAATACGATTTGTTCCCATGGCACAGTAAATCAGCAGTCATTTTCTTGAAATGTTTCGTCACGTCAATCAGTTGAATCCACAGCAAGTTTCGCCGGATTCGAAAAATGTCTCACAATTGAATAAGACAGATGTCATAGGCACCAATTCCGCTGCGCGCAAGATTCGGCGGGTTTTCATGTTTGTATGCACCACCAACACGCGCCCGGCCTCAGCTTCACGTATCTCAGTCTTAAATACCTTCATTGATAGCAGACCAAATTTATGGCTCAGCTAGACCAGAGCAGCCCTTATATCTAAACACCAAAAAAAACGCCTTTGTCTTGGACGATAGCTGTGGGAGTTCCTAAACCGACTTTCAATCACGGGACTTTCTGAGTCATGTTGGACCTCGATACGTATGTTCTGATTCAAGCTTCCCGCCAATCGCCCAGACCCAACAACTAACCCCCCTTCAGAACGCTAGACAACATTAAGAACTGCCGACCAATCCTGGAAGACCACGTGCAGGAAATATGCAGCAAGGTGATCGAGATCATCGTCGAGGAGGCCAATATTCAGCAGGTGCACACGCCAGTGACTATTTGTGGCGACATCCACGGCCAGTTGCACGACATGATCACGCTTTTTAAGACCGGCGGCGAGTGCCCCGCTACCCAGTACCTTTTTTTGGGTGACTTTGTCGACCGTGGCTTCTATTCGCTCGAAAGTTTGCTTCTTCTCCTCACACTCAAAATCCGGTATCCGGACCGCATCACATTGATAAGGGGCAACCACGAGTCGCGGCAAATCACCACCGTGTACGGCTTCTACGACGAGTGCTTGCGGAAATACGGAAGCGTGAATGTGTGGAGGTACTGTTGCGAAGTGTTTGACTATATATCCTTGGGCGCCGTGGTGGGCGGTCCAGGCGGTGTTTTCTGTGTGCACGGCGGGCTATCTCCGGACGTAGACACTGTAGACGAAATCCGCAAATTGGACCGCAAGCAGGAGGTGCCACACGAGGGCGCCATGTGTGACTTGCTTTGGTCAGACCCCGAGGACGTGTCTGCCTGGGCAGTTTCGCCGCGAGGCGCCGGTTACCTATTTGGCGAAAACGAGGTCAGCCAGTTCTGTTATACCAACAACATTTCGCTCATCGCGCGGGCGCACCAGCTTGTAATGGAGGGGTATAAGGAGATGTTTAACGAGACGTTAGTCACGGTGTGGTCTGCACCTAACTACTGTTACCGGTGCGGCAATGTGGCTTCGATTCTCACCATCAGCGACGACATGCTGCGACAGTACAAGGTGTTTGAGGCGGTGAACCAGGACATGAGCCAGGTGCCGATGAGAAAGCCGGCAGTGGATTACTTCATATGACGAGAGACCTGGAGTGTAATGCGCTAATTCTAGCTTTGTATCTGAACAAGGAGGAAAAAAGAAGTTCAGGAGGCCTTTTTGATGCATGGTACCGGTTGAAGGTGAGCCGTGCGAAATCAGAGCCTGCCAAGGTGCACTGTATCATGCTCCATCGAGGAGCTTGGAGAATACACGGCGGCCGCTGTTCTTTCGTCTTTGATTTCCTTGCAATTATCTCGACCAACACTACCTGCACCAATGCCGGAACGCGGGGACTGACACTCGAGAAAGTGTTCGCTGAGCTTGCCGTCTCACGGGTGTGCCACAGGTTTACCCGCTGCTACAGACTGGGGCACGTATCTAGATGAAGCTGGAGACTGGTCAAACTCGGCGCAGGGAATTAGTGTAATGTAGTATTTCTGCTTCGAAAGTGACAACTATTGGACTTTGTGTAGAGTCGGTTAGCTCAGAGTGCTGCAGAGTTTATGATAACAAACTCCTTGAGCTGCGAGTACCCTTACATCAGAAAAGGGTACAGTTCCTTGACAGTAAAGTCATGGGGAGTGGCAATATTACGACATAGATACGCACACGGTGTATGGGTGACACGTGACACCGGGTAGGGAGATCTGGCATTCTTATCAGTGCTTAATTAAATCTACATGCTTTGGGACTGTAAACTACATCAATACCTATCTTGCTGACCCTTCAGAAACGCCAGCTGGCGCCAAGCGGCGAAAGCCTCCTATACTCAGCAAATCAGGAAAGTAGAGACGAGCAATTTGACGTACTGCATATATGGTAGGGATTTTCTTGGGACAAAGGATGTGGACTGATCCAAGTCAACGAGGGGTTGTTTAGAGCCAACTTAACTTACGAGACTAGCGCCATCATGACTGGTGCTCTTCAACATAGAATTGGTCTTAAGATCTGAGCCTAGCGTATTTAGAGACTAGTCGGATGTCGCATTCTTGCTACACGCCTCTTGCGTTTTTCTTGATTCAAAAACTGCTTGCCCCCTCTTGCAGGGGCAAACTCTGCATAGGAGTTGTAATTGTATGTACAGGAAAATGTGCATGAAAATACGGTTTTGTCGCTAGTGGGATTGTCCCCCAAGAACTCTCATCTGCATCCAGCTTCCAATTGATTCTCAAAATATACCAGTCGGTGTGTCTTTGGGCTGATTGATATTGGCTCATCTTTTTCAACTGCGTCCACGGAACTTGCGGGATTAAGGAGGATCTGAATATGCGCCATGTGCGACAAGGCTCATACAAGATACTTCTGACACATCCAACATGACGCAGCCAAGTGGTACCCAATGTGTACCAATTGTTGTGCGCTGACCTCTGACTCTGTACTCAACATAACATCTATAAATGGCTACTGATATGAAACCAAGGACAATTAGCCCACGCAACCCGACCAATTGGCCGTCCGTGTCTCAGCCGCAGGACACCTGCATAAGTCAAGCATCTAACGCAGATTACTTGGTAAAGCACTCCGGCACACGGCTTGTTTTCATAGCCGAGGACTGCAACAAGCGTCGAGGGATGCATGCCACAGTATTTATAGGCATCGAGGTTTCCGCCAGGTGCTAGAGAGCCCAAGGGCTAAGAAAAAAACTCTTTATTGTAGAGTATCTCAAGAAGAAGAAACCTAGCTGTCTCTGGCCAGCTACTTTACGCCTTCAATACTGGACCCACCCATCTATATCAGATCCTCCCATCTATTTCAGATCCTCCCATCTATATCAGATCCTCTCATCTATATCAGACCCCCATCTATATTCTCCCATCCAAACTCCCATCCTTGCACCACCGCCATAGGGCCAACCACTACACAGACCATATACATCAAACGTTGTTCCACATCTCCCTCATCATGCATTTTCTCCACATTTTCACCCTTATTTTTGCATCTTTAGTGGCCGCAACATCCTCGTCATCCTCATCATACACTACATCTACAACAGCGGCCACCACCACATTGGTGTGGGTCACAGGCACCAACAGTAATGGGGTCACCGTCACCACGCAATCTGCATACACCCAACAATTCACTAGTTTTTACACGTCAGTTGCTCTGCCTTCCTCTGGGTCGATCGGTATTGGAACCGAGTCCGGAACCGTTGGAGTGATCAGAACATATTCGTACACTACGATCAATGGCGCCGATGGAATGGTTGCTGGCAGACCGACGGGAATTTTTATCACTAGCATAGCGCCGCTCCTCTCGGCCATTTTCGGTCTTTTCATGTTGTAAGTCGGTTTTTCGATTTCAGAAACGGCAAACCTCCAGACACAGCTAACGTCCTTCTTGACAATACCATCATTTAAACCGTATAGAACAATACTACAAATAATTTGCAGTCATACTAAGCAACACCTTTAGTTATGTCCATCCCTCGATAGCTTGTTTCCAAACAACTGTGCAAGCCTTGTTTTCTGACTCAGAGAAGCGATGGCAATTGTGACGTAATCCCGTAACTGTCCTATATACAGAAATCACTTTTGGCCTGTACAATACACAAGCGCCACGCATATCAGCATACACATGCTATTCCTGCTCCGAAAGGCGGGCACTCATGAACTTGACAGGGCCCTCCATATCATATGCGGCGTTTGAATTGCGTGTAGGGTAAGTTTCATATTTGACATGCTTCAGAAAAGGAATGCTCTTTCATCTTTTAGCAATTGAAACCAGCAGTTCTGCCTCTGGAGACGGGGTCATATCCCATGCCTTTCTTTTTAGTTGGCATTCTAACGTTTGTAGAAGCAGCTCTTATACCCTTGTTGGTTTGTATCACGAATTGCACAATACAAGGCACGCAACAGAGGAAAATGTGTCATCAGAATGTCAGACGATCATAGAGCTGACCCGGCGAATAAAGCCAAGAAAACCAACCCGCAACAATGTCAACTTGAGCAGCTATAACTTTTTGGAACTCCGGTAATAGTCTTGCCTCTGCTTGTGAAACTTGTGAGTCCAGATTTGACCGGAGTGATCTCGCTTCTAAGAAACGAGCAAATACAGGAAATTCGATTGACGTCTGAAAAAGTTTATGTTTCGCACACAATCTCAAGCCGCACTCCAGACTACGACTCTGACAGGGATTCTATCAGCACCAAGTAAACGTTACAGAATAAATCTACGAGAAGCCTTACTAACACACCAAGGACGACATCTGTCGGGAAAGATGGTGTGAATTCCTGAACAGTTTTTTTTGTTGCACCTGCCATTCCTGCGGTATTTGCCAATATCCGAGAGCGCCCTGCCGATTTACGCTTAGCGCGATTTTACGAAGAAACCACGGCGCACTCAGGCCCACTAAATTGACGCCTTCGGTCTAACTAAACCGAACCCTAGCCCTGCTCAAATAACTGTGCCGTCTTCAAGGACTCAACGTTCAGACTTGCCTCCTGAAATCAGAATGGCTATTTCCGGCAGACCCTATCAAACCACAGACCAACTAAATACGTCTTTAGTGGATGGACCGGCCAAAAAGCCAGGTGGTCTACGGAACTGCTTTTCCTCCCTCACTCTAGATAATCATGGGGCAGTCGCCAGAGACCACGTAAGTAAACTCCTCATAAAGTGGCACGCGTCCACATGATGGCACTATCTTCCATAACTACTAACAACAAAGATGGCCAACGAGCGCACGTTTTTGGCGTGGCTACGAACATCGCTTTCACTCGTGACCATCGGTGTAGGCACAGTGCAGCTCCTCAAACTTGAAAGCGAGTCGCAGAATTTGAGCCGGTTTGCTGTGCCCTTGGGAGCCAGTTTCATAATGGTCGGAATGCTCACTTTGGTGATGGGCTCATTTCGGTACTTCCGGGTGCAATCAATGTTGCTCTCCTCGTTATATCCTGCATCGCAGTTCCTGGTGTCGGTTCTAGCAGCGGCGGTCTTTCTACTTGTGGTAGTGACTTTAGGTCTGGTGTTTGCGGCGAGGTGGCGAGGTTCACCCAACATCATAGACATTCATGCTAGCCCAGGATAAATGTGGGTCTGGCCATCTGCTCATGGCGCATTATTGCCGTATATTGGCGACTCCAACTCCACGCACTTTGTCTCTGATGAGCCCTGGTATATGACTCCAAGCCCGTGTGGGAATCACACGGGAACATCGTAAGATCGTACATATAACGCAATGCTCCAAAATCAATTTTCAATGATAGCGCCAGATTGTTTCCGGTGGCAAGATGTGTCGGCGGGGATCGAGGGCTTGTGCCCTAGCGCGCACGTGACCAGCGCATCACGGGTTTTCTCTCGCGCACGACATCAAATTTTCCCTCGCGCGCACCCAGTTAACTGATCGCCACTGCCAAAATCTACCTCCTCTTAATCCATAAACTATCAATAAATAAAAATGGTATGTGGCTACGAGAATCCTGCTGGTGTTGAGGAGACTGTTTTGCGAATGCCCGCCTTTTAGATCCGACGGCTTGGATTCCGCTTTTCGAGCTCCAGGTTCTGGGACTATCAGTGGTCTGGCCATCTGGTGCCGAAGTGCATTGGATGTCAGAAAATTTTGAATCGCAGAAGCCCACATTATCCACCCAAATCGTCTGTTTGATGCCATCGTCTCGAAGAATAAACCGAGGGTCCACTCTGCTACTCAACTCAGGCATCTTATTTTTTGGCCGAATGATTATACTAACTCTTTCAGGGTAAGGTTCACGGTTCCTTGGCTCGTGCCGGTAAGGTTAAGTCTCAAACTCCTAAAGTCGACAAGCAAGAAAAGCCTAAGCAACCAAAGGGTAGAGCTTACATGAGATTGTTGTACACCAAGAGATTCATCAACGTCACCTTGGTCAACGGTAAGAGAAAGGCCAACTCTAACGCTGCTTAAGCATGCTTGTTCCATAAACTTCTTTTGCGAAATCATGTATATCTAATATAACATTGGCTTATTATTGAAATGTGTTTGTGGCCGTAGAATGGCGGGTTTGACATCTGGTCTTACATGTCATGGTGCATAGAATCGTCGTATGGATGTGTGGATTAAACTCTGATGAGTTTGCAGATTACACTGCGTGTTCGAATATCTTCGTTGGAGGGTATAAGCAACAGATTCGCCCGTGAAGGGGAAAATGTAACCAGACGTCGAGCACATGGCATGTCCATGCTTTAGATCAACTACACGGTATATGCCACAGGCTAAGTTTGTGTACTTCTATTCTTTCAATGCATGTACTTCCACTCTTCATCAATAGAACAATAGAGACACAAATGTTTAGTTTGTGCCGTTTCACTAATGTACCTCACTATGAACTAAAGGTTCAGTCCCATTGCGGACGCAACTCGTAACAATACACGCGTGATCTGATCTCCACCGTCTCATCGTCTTCCTCAAACATGGGTTTCCAGTTGACTAGCTCGATAAAGTCGGCTTTGAATTGGAAGTCCTCGCACGTAGTGAAAAACTGCAAGTCGTCATTCAAAAGCCACGGACGATGAGGGCTGAATACAACCAAAGCTGTGCCGTTTTTCTTGAGCGCGTTTCTACAGTTGGACAACAACTTGCGGTGCTCTGTGTGGTTGAACACCAAGTCGGACAAAATGATCAAGTCGAATTTGGCGTCCTCGGCGATCTGCTGGGGAAGCTCGTTCTCCTTAAGACCGTCGTAGCACAACGCAGTCTCATCTTGGCCCCAAATAAAACCAGTGACCTTTACATCTGTGGACTCGGGAATTCCATCACAGTGGTCCACGTTATACTGGATGTGGGAGAGCAAATCGGGGTCTGGGTAATCGGTGCAAAGCACTTTGGACGCACCATTGATGCCACATACTAAGGAGGGCAAGCCTGCAGCGGCACCCAACTCCAAGACTTTCTTGCCCTGAACTAGCCTATCCGAGTGCTTGTCAAGATAATCGGCAGTATATTTCCCGGCATTCCAAAGCAAATGGCCCCAAAGAGGAGACTTGCCCACGAGTTTTAGCAGGATCTTGCTAGGGCCTTGTGTGTGATTTTTTCTCTCGTAGTCCACGAAATGAGAAGCGGGCGGAGGTGGACAGAAGTCCTCTGGCTCTTCGAAGAGATTGGACCCGAAGTCGGACTCGTTATCAGACATCTTGTATTTCTTGCGCAGATCTGAACAAGGTTCTTGGACAGTGCTAATGCACGTTGCAAAATAGAGATGAGACTTCGCAGTAGGTGCAGTTTACGACGCGCAGCTGCACAATCGTGTACTAATTTTACGACAGGTGGCACGAAGCAAAAAGACAGATTTCTTTTCTGCATGACCCAGTCGAATTTGGTAAATAATAACTAGAGAGAAGTGCCACACCCAACATGCGTGATTTGTAGCCAGAAAAAAATATCGACAACTGCAGGATTCGAACCTGCGCGGGCAAAGCCCAAAAGATTTCTAATCTTTCTCCTTAACCGCTCGGACAAGTTGCCTCGTATGAGGCTTGTGACCGAGTGATTTAATATCTAGACACACAAACAATAATATCACGTAAGAGACATTGGAGCAAACTAGTCATGTATTAGCTCTCTGTTCGTATTTGAGCCACCAAAAACACATTTACAGCACATTCACAACCGGTGTACCCAGGACATAGTAGATCACACGACCAAGAAGCAAAAACATTCACTTTTCGCGTCAAATTCTGGTTTCTTGCGGTGACCATCCGCTGCATGTCCTGGAGAGATCATACCGGGCCCGCCGCGTCTACTTTTTTCTAAAATATGAGACCTTAAAGCTGCCCAAGACAAAAATGAGCCACGGGTGTTATTCTCAATTAATATGTAATTGTCAAAGCACAAATAATTTCCATGTGTTTCTCCAAACTTGCGCATCTCACTGCCAATCGAAAGCGCGCATCGCGCAAGACATCAGCGAAATCAACTCGATTTACCCCGGCACAAAATCTTTCGAGGCAGCCAATGTCGAAGTATACTCTTTCACGGATCCCAAAAGATGTCCAGTACATTTTCAAAGTCTATGAGACTGCAAGCCATTCTTTTCGGCCCTTTGACGACAAATTGGTAGGCCAGTTCGTAGATAGAACGGGCCTGTACTACGAAATGTTTAACCGACGTAAGCTCCTCTCGGATGGCACAAACGGCCCGATTTTCAACAAGCAGGATTTCCCACTCGTGACACGTGATATTGTGCTGACGATATTCGAAACGCCGCTTCAGCTTGAAAAAAAACTAGACATACCCACAGACTTTCTGGCCTTGTCCGACCTGAGTCCTTTTGCTGACTTGGAACCCGTATTCAGCGATTGGCAAACCACCGTTAAGCATTTTTCCGACCACCAGGCACGCATTCTTTCACTGCTAGCGGCGCACTTCTCACCCCTCTCGGCCGTCGAGAGTCCATTGGCCCAGAAATCCATGAAGTGGTACCAGAAACTTCTTGCCAACACCCCAGTAATTTTCTTTCTCAGCCAGAATCAGAGACTCATGGCCGAGTCCAATCTTCGAGGTCTCAACCATCCGTTCGACAAGTTCAGCAGTCGCCTTGGTCAAATCTGCCGGCGGTATGTGGATGACTCAAATGTCGACAAGCGTATAAGAAACTACCACCTCACAAATCTTGTTACCACGGACATCTTCCAACTTGCGATTGCAAGCGAAGCCCGAGAAAACGCAAGTGCGGCCACCGACGGCGATGGTTTGGGGGACCGTCTTGCCGAGTTGCGTCGGCCAGACGTGGTCGGACCAAACCACGAGCCCTTTGATTTGGCAATGCTTGCCCAAGCCAAGATTAAGATTAACTTTCCTATCAGGCAGGTCGAAAGGGCGCTAAGCGGCGTGAGACATACGCTGCAGCTCCCGGAAGTCTTTCCTTACGACATACACTACAAGGATATGTACATGCTCACAATCGAGTCCCTGATCTTCCAGGATAACCACGAGGCATTGCTAGATCTCATTGCGCAACAAACTCAGTTTGACGTTTTTGCTGTACGGATTTCCAAGACACATTCTCCGCAGTTCGATCTCTCCATGACGACAGAACCGACGTCGGGACCAAGCACCGCACCCACGTACGATCAGCTTCTAGACTGGGCAGAAAAGCAGCATCACCCGTCAGAGCTGCGTCACGTGACGCAGCTTCTCGAGCGGCTCGGGCACTGGGGTTTGGTCGAGGTGGAGGAGAACGGCAGCGGTTCTGCATTTTATGTTTTCAAGGATTCGAAGCACCCCGCAAATTGAGGCAGTGACAGGACGTCTTCCGCTTCTTGTGCGTTGTTGGGGCGCTCTTCTCGTTTGGAGATTGAGCCCCAGATGGGCGAGGACATGGGTGAAGAAGACGACATTTGAAGAGGAAAAGAAGGCAGAATATCAGCACATCAACAAATCATCAGATCGACATATCATCAGATCAAGATATCATCAGATCAACAAATCACCATATCACCATATCAGCATATCACCAGATCAACATATCATCAGATCAACATATCACCAGATCACCAGATCAACAGATCAACTTATCATCGCATCCGCGCATCATCAGAAAACAATCCATCCGGCCTTCTCGCGGCCCAGTCCTACATGACACGTGACTGTCTCTGTCACCTTGACGCCAGCTCCGGTTCGGCCCCGGCTTTCCATATACTTCCATCCTATCCTGTCACGTGTCCACTGCGTGTTGCCAGAAGCCTTTCTACTGCCCGTGCGGCTTGGGTGCGTCACTGTTCAGTATACACCTGCACCAGCTTTGCCGCGCCGCAGCCCGCGCGTCCCCAGCTTTCAAAAGACAGCGAGGCCTGATTTCTTTACTACCTTGTTCTTTCTGCGCCGAAAATCTAGCCAGCGGTCTGATCAACCCGACTTTATTCCTGGTGTCTCTAAGTATGCGGTGGTCTGCTGCACGAGCGGGCCTCACACGTGTCGTGCTTCTTTGTGCGGCCATGCTATTACTCTATCTCTGGAGCACATCGGACCCTGCCTTTGCAGACAAACATGGCAGTGATTCTTTGGACTTGCCGCTCCAGCCAAACCCTGATCTGCACATTGATAGCAGGCCAGGCTGGCGCGACGAAATCACGCCGGACTTTCTCGAAATGCTCGATCGAACCACGCAGAAGTGCGGGGATTACGTCGACTACGCCACTAAACGCCACCCGCCGTTCTCTCAGGGCAAGCACCGGTACCCCTATATGCGGCCAGCGCCCAAGTGCCGCACTTTCACGTCGGCCGCGCTTGAAAAGGTGCTTGTGGACTTCAAGCGCAAGCTCAAGGACCCGGATTTGGCCAGGTTGTTGGAGAACTGCTGGCCCAACACGCTTGACACCACGATTTTGTGGCACCGCCTGGCCCTGGCACACGGCCTCGACACGCCGGAGACATTTGTCGTGACCGGTGACATCCACGCGGAGTGGCTCCGCGACTCGGCGCGCCAGCTCTCGGTTTTTCAGCCGTTGCTCAAGCACGACGAGCAACTCCGGGTTTTGGTCCGTGGTGCCATCCACACCCAGGCACATTACGTGGCCTCAGCGCCGTACTGCAACGCGTTCCACCCCCCGGCGCACTCGGGCGTGAAGAAGGGCGAGTCTGCCCGTGACCAGGTGTTCCCCCCGCCTGATTGGCGCCATGTGTTTGAGTGCAAGTACGAGATCGACTCCCTCGCGTCTTTCCTCACGTTGACCAACGAGTACCTTGAGCACACGGAGCACGACCTCCTGGTGATCTCGGGCACGTGGTTGCGGGCGTACGACAGGCTCTTGGCCGTGCTCCAGCGCGAATCCAGACCCCTGTTTGACCCCGAGTCTGGCCACGCTGCACCGTTCTACTACTCTTTCCAGAGAAACACCAACATCGGCTCCGAGACCTTGCCCTTGGGCGGCGTCGGCAACCCAGTCAACTTCCACACGGGCTTGGTGCGGTCCGCGTTCCGGCCCTCCGACGACGCCACGATCCTCCAGCTCTTCGTTCCTGGAAACGCCCACATGCTCTCGGAATTGCGCAAAACCGTCACCAATGTCTTCGACCGCATTGCCCACACGCCGGAAACGAAAAGGTACGCGGCCCTCACGCGCGCGTTCATTGGCGAAATCGAGCGCGGTCTCAAAGAGCATGCCATCGTAGACCACCCAAGGTGGGGACGCGTGTATGCGTACGAGGTGGATGGGTATGGCGGTGCGGTCTTTATGGACGACGCCAACGTGCCGTCGCTCTTATCGCTTCCCGAAATGGGCATTTGCGGACAGGACGACCCCGTGTACCACAACACGCGCAGAATGATCCTCTCGAAAGAAGGCAACCCCTACTTCCTCAAGGGCCCGTACATGGAAGGAATTGGTGGGTCGCACATTGGCATCCGCCATGCGTGGCCCATGTCGCTCTTGATGAGAATGCGCACCACGGACGACGACGAGGAGATCTTGCGCAGCTTGGACCTCGTCATGGCGTCCACTGCGGGGCTCGGCCTCATGCACGAGAGCGTCAACGTCAACGCACCCGGCGGCGGCGACTACACCCGCCCGTGGTTTGCGTGGTGCAACTCTGAGTTTGGCAAAACCATGCTCCATCTAGCCGTGCACAAGCCACACCTTATTTTCAGGGACAAGTACGCCCACAGCCCCTACGACATCGATGCGGTGTTTGCCTGAACGTGCATTCCCCAGCTATGTACCCTACTGCTTAATATACTGTGCAATGGACTCGGCCGTCTTGGAAGACGCGGTTTTGGCAGACGCCTCGAACGCCGCCTGGTACCGCGCCTGTAGGTCTGCATCCGTGCTGCCGAGCTCGCTGTTGCGGTCCTCCGGAAACGTGTACTCCCTCTGCACGTCCTCGTCGTCGTCACGCTCGACCTCGCCGTTGGTGTCGTCGTCTGCCTCCTCGTAGTCGGAAAGCACCGCGGAATCCTCGGCGTTCTGGTCCTTGATGTCCAAGTCCTTCATCAACTTGTTGAGCGACGACGCCTTGCGCTTCTTCTCGTCGTCCTCCTTCTGCTTAAGGATCCGCTCGCGCTCGGCCAAGTAGAACTCGTCGTACTCGTCCACCTTCTTGTCCACGGCATCCATGAAGTCGTCAAATCCTTCGCCAGTGTATGCGCTGCAGCCCACCACGTCGAGCTGCGAATAGAACTCCTCGAGCATAAGAGACATGGAATTGACCAAGCTGCTCATGTACCCTGAAGACGTGCCGTCCTCGCCGTTCAAGTCCTGGTCCTTGGCCAAGGCCATCTGGAACAGCTCGAAGTCCTGCATCCACTCCTTGGCAAAATCGGCCTTCTGGACGTCCGTCTTGTTGAACACAATGATCATGGGCAACTTGGTCTTATACAAGATCGAGCACGCGTACAACATGTTGGAAATGAAGGTGGTGGGCGACGCCGTCCGCGGCGTGTCCACAATATACGCTATCACCGTGGGGAAAGTGGACGCGAACGCCTCCGTGATGATGGCGCCCGAGGCCGACCACACAAAACACTCGATTTGCCCGGGCGTGTCGATGATGACGTTTTTGTACTGGTCGGACTTCTTCTCCACGAGCCCGATCACCTGGTCGATCTTGGTGGAGAAAAGATTCAAGGACGTGACAATGGCTCCGTTCGGCCCCAAGTTGTACTTCTCCATAACCTTCTTGTACTTCACCGAATCCCGGATATCAATGTTGGCGCCGAAAGGCACTTTCAAAACGGCAGGGTCAAGATTTATGGCGTATGGCGGGGTTTTTTTGGCGTGGAGATGCGAGTTGAGTCTCTGCATGAACGTGGACTTGCCGGACCCGGCCATGCCGATACAGATGATCGTTGTGGGCGCCATAATAAATGCACTGCTTCTTTGTGAGGTGGTGTACGTGTATGTATTTTTCAAGGAAACACGGGTGTTTCACGTGTGTTGCAGAGTTTTTCAGCTGTTGTCTTGGCGTATTAGTAAGGTGAAAGGAGATGAGCTCTCACGCGAGATGCTCATGGAGGCCAGTGGTCAGGTAGTCTGTGCAGGCCGACCAGATGCTGGGGCATATGACGACATGGTGCCACATACAAGTAGCGTAATGGGTGGTTCTTGTTTTTTTTTCTGGGAATTTTCATGTCTGTTTCCGGATGACTAGATTTGCGACTTCATTTCTTCCAGCTATTTTGTGAAGCGACAATGGTGTGAAACTCCGCACTCCTGTCACGTCGTGACTTTATGACTACTAGGAGTCTCGTACACTATCAATACAAGGATATAAGGGATTTGCTATTCTATATGTGACTGGTATTTCAAAAGCAGCTTTACTGAAAAGAGAAGCGATCATAGATTATCAAAGACCAACAGCTTGGACTGTAAAGCTTAGCAGCTCAAAGAATCTCTCGTACGACACCGCCAAATTCTATGTAATTTTTTTGCTCAAAAGAGCAAAGTGCTCCCCGAAATCGTTTCTTTTTCTAATGCATCTTGTACTTTTTTGAGTTTCGGAAGTCGGGAAGAAGCATAGTTGAAAAGAAATGGCAAAAAGCGTAAACTGCGCATTAAGCACAGTAACTAAAGAAGAAAGACTCTTGACAAGTCAAGCATACGCAGATTCAAAATCACCCTGCTATACACTCAATGTCTTACAGAATTAAAGTAGCCTTTGTGCCAATAATATACTCTATTTATGTTCACGTGTCAATGGCGAGCTAATGATCCCATCCGCTTACTTGAAGCATCAGGTGCATTGTCAGGTAATCAGAACTCAATCTAAGATTCGACACTTGACCGCAGTTTGCTCTGAAGACGTTTTGTCCTCTCACACATCCAATCTGGAAGCTGGCCCGAGTGGACAGATCTTTAGTCATCACAATGAACGAATGTTCTTCTCATATACAGTAGTTCTGGGTACTGAGAACGATACATCAGCGAGACATGGGATCGCAGAATGTTTCTGGACTCTTGAGAAATTCTATAAGTCAAAAAGCAGTACGCCCTATATACTCCACACTTAGAGATATCACGAAGCTCAAGGCCAACAGTTTAATGCAGACGCCTCGTGAGAAAGCCTACAGATCTTCAGCCGTTTCCGAATATATATTTGAAGATACATGTGCATAGAGCTCAACATGCATATGGGGGCCTCCATCATTGCTCTATTCGTTGCTTTCAACGCCCTAGAAAGAAACAGGGCCTTCACTCGATGTATAGCATAAAATTATTATCGAAACATTCCATCTTAAGAGTCATATTTTTCCAAGATTCTCTGCGTAATTCCTGCAAGGACGTACTCGTGGTCCAAAATCTGGATGCTTTCTGCCTCAGCTTTGAACACTTTCTCTACTTTTGGGCCGCCTGCACCTCCAAGATTTGGCATGACTTGCTGCTGTTGTTGTTGCTGTGCTACTATATCACGTGCTGCCTTTGGATCGGCCATAAGGAGTGAGTAAATGGGCCGGAGACCAAACAAATTAACAAAGTACCACGAGATCGCCGACACGTACCGCGGATCCAAATTAGGTGTGTTGACTCCGTTCTGAAGCATGCTCTTAAATCCATCGGTAAGCGGAAATGGGAGTTTCATCACAACTGACCCGACAAAAAAATAATTGACCCACCCCATGATCAATGTTTGTGGTACATAGCTCATGATATTGCCTTTGGCCATATTCATTAACGCGTCGTTGGTGGTCGGGTCCACAAGCGGATTAGCCAGTTTATTAGGCTCTTCTACTTTTTCCCAGAAATCTGTGCTTCGGAGGCTTTTGATAAGGTATTGTTGCCGTGTCTCAAATTCGGATGAAGTCAAAATTCCGGCGTTGGTTTTGAACGCAATAGCCCGCTTGAGAAAATCCCTAGAACGGTCAGTATATGTTGGAAAATTAACATTGTATTTTCTGAAAACTCAGGCAACACTTAGGCCCATCCGTTTTATTTAGATCATCTGACATACTGTTCTCTGGCGGCTTTGACTGGAAGTGCCTTGCGCTTCAGAGTGAGAAGGAAAGTGATATTGGAGCGCAAAATTCCGACCAAGACCATAGCCACTGAAATCGGGAGAAGCATCCACCATTTCAATTGCGGGTCTAGCAAAAGTGTTTCCGTTCCCATGATCTTTACCAGCAGGCTTGAAATAGTGATAGTCTGAGCAGTCTCTGATTATGTTTATGAGACGAGCCCTGTGCAGGCATGAAAAGGTATTGGTGCTTGAATATTAAGACTGATAAAACTAGGAAGGGGTTAATAAAATCAACCTTTGCTTCCTGACAAAATATTGCAAAGCATGATTTGTTTCCTGGAAAAAAAAGAGAAAGATTCTTGGGACCGTCTGGGGTTGTCGCATGATCAGCTGCTACATCTCTTAGAGCAATGTCGGTGTAGAATGCCTGTGATGAGACAAGAAAGCGCCCCAAAGCAAGAAACAAGGTAAAAGAAAAAATATTTGAAATTATTGAACTGGTGGTGGGGCTACGAACTAAATGAAAACCCTGAGCTTCTAGAGCGTAATATGACCGCGGCAGGTTTTGTACTTTGTAGGATATACTTCAGGTTTAAAATCTTGTTTCCGGCATTTTTAGTCTGCAATAAATTTTTCCCATTCAGGTCTCATAGTTTCTTTGTGATAAGGTCATTGTGTGAAGAAAGGTGTATCCTTCATGTTCTGGCATGCTTTTGATTCGGGTTTGTTTGACTTTTTATAAACATGAATAATCGTGATCTTCAATTTTGTTTTCTCTTTTTTGTCTATATCAGTCAGATGGGCCGAATATCCAGAAAAGCTTTCAATTATTCTTCGCCAATAAATCCAAATTTCTCGCAATGTCTTTGCTACTACAGCAATTTTTAGGGTGAGCAATTATTTTCATTCAATATTTTCGCATCTGTAATCACGTCATGTAGTCTTTCAATTATCATATCGACGGTTTCACTCGAGGCAATCAATGCTTGAAGGCTCTGACTCATAATATCCTTAAAGTCTTCAAAGTCAAGATTGTAGTGCCATAATGTTTTCTTTTTATACTCGTCTACTCCAGCGTATTTATGAACATCTGTCGAGCAAAAGAATATTTCCGAAGAATTTCGCTCATAAAATCGATAATAGCTTTCTAATACCTTGTCTCTCATGATGCTGATCTTGGCAACTGTATCCGTGATTCTTGAGACTCGGAGATTGAACCAAGTCTCGAGAAAAGCCAAATCGCATTGAATCTTTTCCATATGGATGCATATTTCAGTAACTTTGGAGCTACTCCTTTCCATTTTCTCCTCCCAGAATTTCACGTCTGTTTCTTTTGGGTTTTTCAAATGTTCGTAGATGATCAGAAGTTCATTGCTAGATCCCAATCCCAAAGATAAGAGCTCACCGAATGTATTTCGAATTGACAAAATATCGCCGAGAAATCCTTGGATCTTGATGTTGCATGGAACTACCACAATTTTGAGTATGTGCCCGAAGATATACCGATAGTTATCGACAATTTCCTTCAAAATAATAGATGCTGAGTCACTCTCGACTCTAAAATTTATATCATTGATGACCCTGAATATATCGGTAGACTCCAAAGTGCTCGTGGGGTGACTGCTATGGTAGTTCTCTGGGAAGTGAAAATATTGAGAGTCTGAAGAGCAAGGTTTTTGTTGCATCGCCGGTGGCTCATTGGATTGCATCCCTGACACAATGTCAGTTTCTTCTTGAAACTGAAGAAGCAAAAGCTTTGCTCTGGTCCATACCGGGGTACTTCTAAGGTTTTTTCTGCTTTCCCTTCTCGGAGAGAATTCTCGACCTTGATCTTCTCCTCCCTCAACTGCAAGAAGATACTTGTCAATATCTCGGACATATTCCTGGTCTACCTCGCCAAGGTGTACTCCTGGTTCCGTGTTCAGGGATTTTTGATTTTCGAACAGAAATTCAACATGAGAGCCATTTCTCAGGTTTTGATTTACAAAATGTCTTTTATTTGAAGCGTCTTTTAGGTTCAGCATACTCGTTCTAAAGCAATTGTTCCTTGATGGGCAGTTCTTTTGATTATTTTTTTTTTCGTAACTTTTTTTGGTGTTTACAGTTTCAAATACCGACTTGATTAATGTTTGGAACTGACCATATGTCTGTGATTTAGAGGCGAGAATTCTGATACAAAAGGGATTGAGACTGAGGTGCGGCCCTGAAGAGTGTTCCTGGTATACTGTCTTTCGCAGCCACTGATTAGTGGTGCGTCATTCTGGTCCAGCCAGTACCCAAACTAAAAGGTGGTGTCCAATCTTATTTAAATAGGAGACCAGCCCAGCTAATATATCATGGCGCATATGTACAAATACCTCAGGAATTTTATGATGCGTGTAATTCTTTGTGCGAAAGTATTATAAAGACGATTGGTCCGAGAAGCGATCGACAGGACAACTCACATATCCTATCATTACGGTAATTTAAAATAGAACACATATAACAAAGACAAGTAAATAAGGATTGGGCAAATTGGGATGACTAGTAAAGATATTTGGAGGGGGGGGGGTTAAAGTGGGGCACTCGACCCATGACGACGGGTCTTGGTTGTCATACATGGTGTGACAAAGCATCTCATTTCAGAAACATTACACTGACCGAAAAACAATTAAGCCCTAGTTTATCACAAGTGTTCGTCTCTTCAGCTCGATACGTGTAAAATTTTGTTAGGGAAGTTAAAACTCTTCAAATTCATACCAGACAGGAACCGTCTAAAATCGCAGTTCACGAGACAGGAATCGTCTAGTATTTTTGGATGATAAAAGACAAAACGGATATGTTATGTTCCCGACTATTTTTTGGACAGGCTTGAAAAGCTTTGAGTGATCTATTTCAGGATATTCTCGCTGAAATACTTTTCGAGTACAGTATCATTTAGATTTTTAGAGAAATAGAACTTGGCCTACCCTTCGTTCTTTTATCAAATACTACATTATGTACTCACCCTTGGCAGGCGAAGCAAGAAGACGGAAACCGTCAAGAAACACAGACTTTTGGCATGAGCAAAATCAAGATTCCGAATTTCCAGAGACCACAATAGTGGACGACAGCGATCAAACATCAGAAGATATCTCAAAAAACAGCGACCCCATCATCTCGCACCTCTACGCTAATATTTGCAGTGAACAAGGCGACACCGAATTGGATACATCAGAACATAAATTAAAGAGCAATAGGAAAGTGATTCGTGCAGCAAAAAATTTGTTTGGAAGAATTGGAAAAATATTTTCACGCCCGGCTGTCAGTTAGAAGGGCATTCTACATACAATACAAAGGGTCAGTATTTGGGGTCACCGCGTTCAATTGACAGGGATAGAAATGAAATCCTTGGGATCTTATTTCTTTGGATAAGGACCTCATTATTTGTTTTTTTCAAAATTGAAACTGATTTGTAATTTACACTGACTACAGAACTCTTCAGCTGCCTCTTTTGCCATGACAAAGACTATAACAAAATAACTCAGAACTATGACAAGATTGAACCTGTAGGAGCTAATAGATGAGTGAACTTAGGCTGACATACATGATTATTTGGCTTATAAGAGTACATAGACATAGACACAATTATAAGTTTCCTCCTCCATTATTAGTCTGATAAATGAAACAATGTTCTATCGTTATGATCCAGAAAATTATTTGGGAATGTACACCTTCTAAATATACAAAAGCTATCACAAATATATCCTCCAGTGTTATTTTTCAATAAAATCATCTGATCAAAACCCGTTTTACAATAATAATTGAAACCTCCCACATTTCCCCCGATATGTACCTAGTGTCAAACTTAGGCCTGTCCACTTCTGTCAGTAGTACGGCCTGGACAGTCTTTTTTGACGAGTTCGTTTGATTAAGAATTTTTGTTTAAAGAACATCATATTATAGGGTGTCATTGTAGGGATGTAAAACCTCCCCACTAAACTCTAAAGAAAAAATACATAATAGATCGCAACATTGACTCAAGTGAGAAGGCCCGAGCACCAATTCACGAAATCTCCCAAAGAGGATGTGACTCCTCTCAAAAAGACGTCTGCCCATAACCAATGTCAGCCACTTGAAAAAATTAGCTAAATTTCACCGCCCCATAGGATGTGTTTTCCTAAGGGCCCGTGACCATAGTTCATTTGACAACGCGGCAAGACGTACATTTGTCTTTGCCTCCTGGTCCCTAAGCAGATAAATCCTACAACCGACTTTAACAAACGAATTGAGGATTCTTAGATTTTCAAAGGAAGAACCCAAAGGAGCGAACATCTTCCTTAAGTGCATTGGAGCTTGAAAGCCGATTGTTTGCCACCCGAAATGCAAACTCTCACACTTATTGTAGAGGTGGGTTAACTTCTGATCGTTATAGCAGTGTTTGACAAAACTATACAAGAATATAGGTAGAAAAGCCTTCACACAGCTCCCAGATGCGTACAAAGGCATGTGCTTGTTTCCAAATCGGATTCTATTTTTTTTAAAGAAACCTGTGTTTTGAAGGATATCGCTGCCCCGAGACAGGGGCGAAAACTATACACTATAGAACACATTAACAGGCTATCAGATGTGCAAGATATACCTTGTTTCGGGAAGGAAAAACCCATCGTCGTTTTATGGACCCAACGCCCCATACCCCGTACACACCCATCTTTTTTTGTATGATCCGGGCTACGAACCCGACTTTGTTTCATATGTTAAACTGTTTTTTGGTAGATCTATCTGATTAAAGGGGCAAAACTATATGAATAATATATATAAAAAACCTTTAACCAGCTCCCAGCTACATACCAAGTATCTTTTTTTTTTTTTTTTGGTAGATTCATCTGATTAAAGGA